CATGGAAAAGGATGTGTGTTTCACAAGCGAGAAGTGAGAGAAAATAAACTGTTAGCATAGAACTTACAGTTACATCTAGCCATTTCAACTGTGAATGAGACCTTGTTGTCAATATAATACTACGCTTAGTTTAATAAAATCTAGGTACCATAGCGAAGAGTAAATCCGAATAATTACCGTGAACGTATTTATAGAAAAGGCAAGAGGAAGCTCCATTATTTTGATATATATATATATAAATTCTTATTTGTATGTAAAAGTAGTTAAAGAGAAAATCCGCGGCAAAATTTACTTAATTTTTGTAAATAAATTCATTTTAATCATTTCGCCCTCAGGCAAATTGATAATGCCACTAGGACGCAGAGAGATGTAGGGAGTGAAAGAGAATGAGAAGACTTTAGTCAGGACAAGTGAGGAAAGGAAAATAAAGGAAAAGGGTTCACGAAGACAGAGGATGGCTATTGATGTTGTATTTAATTTCTTGAAGGTTGTAAGTAACAAGGAACTAAGAAATCGGAAAGGATTTGCATAAGTGGGAAGTGCCAAAAAAAGAAAAAAAGAAACTGATAGAATAAAAATGGCGGTTACGTCTCTACCTTTTTCAAGAGTATAGCGGGGAAACCATAAATCCATGTAGTCAAGGCATTAGGGAAAAATGCCATAAAAATATTTGTAGAAAAGACAGAGGGAAGCCACATCACGTCGGTGAGACAGTGACTGAAAACGAAATGCCAGAATCGACTACATTACCGATGATTCTTTGAATTTTGTCAAGTGTCACGAGATATGCAGGAAGAACACTAGACCAGATATGGCTGCAGGATTCAATGCACGGATGAATGGTAGATTTATAAATGTGCAAGATGGATGCTTGTTTTCATTTTCTGTGTCGATTAACATTACGCCACCTCACAATATAGTGGATATATTGTTTAATACTTTTGAAATTAAATATAAATCAGCATATGAATTTTGAAAATCGTTTTAAATGAAATCTAATGGTTAATTATATACTTAAAATAATTTAACGCCTTGCTTGCTTGCAAATAGATTTATAATTCCTGAAACCATTTACCGCGTTCGCAATTACTCCCCCTTTTCCCTGATTTTCAGAAGTAAAGATTCTTCAAGAAATAAGGTAAAGTAACTTGTTCTGCTGAGCTTTTCTCTTTGGTATCTCGACTTTACGAATGTTAACGCAGTACTGGATTGGCAGTTAGGTCTCGTTATTTTATAGTTGAAATGGCTACATGTAACCGCAAGTTCTATGCTAAACGTTCTTTCCCTCGCACTTCTAGCTTGCAGATATCTCTTACGACCTTTTGATTTCCGATCAACTTTGATCTTCAAAAATTTAAAAGAAACATCAAGTCTTATCTTCTGTCTTCTTAATTCCTCTTCTTTTATTGTTGTTTCTCCTTAACAATGTTTTTTACTTTTATCTTTCACGCTCAGTAACCCTTTGTGGTTTAGCGGGTTTATTGTCATGCTTGGAGTGAAATGATTAAAATAAAACTCGGATATGTTTTGGTTTTGATAACTTTGTTAATGTTGTGTCGTGGCACAATAGTAAAATAAGAAAATCAAGTCGAAGTTGGGTTAAGGAACAAGTGTATTTAACATCACAGATACAAAGGTAGGAAACGGGTACTACTCAGTTAGGCAGTGTAGTAGCGTCGCTGCTACTACCGGTAGGTACTACTGACACTATATATATAGTGAGAACCGGTGTAATTCCCTTGTGTTAGAGGCCGGTGTAACAGTTAATAAGACAAAACCTAAATGAATGATAATTTTATGCTAATCAAATATACCGAGCCTAACATTCGTAGACGTGTAGGTTTAGAAAGGTCGATACGCACTTGATACACATTCAATCACCGATACACATACATACAGAGGAATATGCACATTCACAACTGCCCAATCGTTTCTTTTTATTTAAGAGACTAGATATTACAGAATATAATATTAATTAAAAGAATAGAATGATATTAACGAAGCGGTTCTGTGGCAACGGTAATGTTAATAATAATAAAAAAATAATAATTTGCCATTTCTGGAAAGAAATACTTGTACAGTATATTTTACTGCCACTATATTTACAGTGATAGATAATTTCAAAGGCATCATTTTAAAACATTTCAAAGCTCTTCTTTTCTCTCTCTGTCACTTTTTCTCTCTCTTTCTCTCTTTCTTTCTCTCTCTCCCTGTGTCTCTTTCTCTCTATCTCTTTTTCTCTCTGTCTCTGTCTCTTTCTCTCTCTCTTTCTCTCTGTCTATCTGTCTCTCTTTCTGTCTCTCTCGCTCTTTTTCTCTGTCTCTTTTTCTTTATCTCTTTTTCTCTCTGTCTCTATCTCTTTCTCTCTTTCTCTCTCTCTCAGTCTCTGTCTATCTATATCTTTCTGTCTCTCTCAATCTTTCTCTCTGTCTCTCTCTTATTCTCTGTGTGTATGTCTATTTCTCTTTCTCTTTGTCACTCTGCCTCACTTTCTCTCTGATTCTATAACAATATTTCTGCTGTCGGGAAAGGATTCGTTTTCTTCTTCCCATGTAATTTTAACTTTTATATGTGCTTGTTTTTTTCTTTCAGTTTTTGAAGCAAAAACAGATTGTTAGATTTGTATCTAAGTGCAATTGGTTAATGACATTAACTAATGTGGTCAATTAAATTCATTTTGAAACAGTCGACAAAGAAAAAACAAAGCTGGTAAAATAGTTATTAATTATTATTGCGCATCTTTTCATTTTTGCGAACTAACGATTATTTTTCTTGATTTCAGTTGGATTCATTAATAAATTCCTCTTTTGTTTATACGAGGGTGTGTCAAAAATTAATGCAATTTGTTTTATTATATAATAAACAAGGGAGGCAATCAAAAATATCGTATATCAAGATATCGCTATACATCACAGGTTCACATCTCCACTTCTCAACATAGTCTAGACTTCTTGCATTCTCCCCCGACCTCAAAAAAATAAATTCTGATGACTATAAATTGTTGGTAGTTTTGATAACTTTCAGTTTATGTCGATGGTTAAATTAAGATTAAGAATTTTTATCTTTAGATAGTAAGGAGGGGAAACTTACTTTGGAATTACTGGGAATTACAAAAACGAACTACATTCCTTTTTAACAGAATATTAGATAATGCGGAGACTGACACAGAATAGCAAACTACTGGTCAGAAAATGCTGTGGTTGCAGAATTTTGAGAGTGATGGGTTGCCTTTGTTTAAGCTTTCGAAATAAGATCAAAAAAGAATGAAAACAAGGAGACGGTTGCAAGAATGTGACGTATCACACGCCCGGAATTCTTATGTCGAGGCAACACGTGACAGTGAAACTAGTTTCTCACTTTCGCTTGCAAAGCTACAAATTCTACCCCTAAACGAGAGAAAAGAAACCAAACTGTTCGTCGTTGATGCAGTCTGTGATGTAAGGTGCGAGGAACTGAAGCCAAAAGCCGACTGGAGACACAAGAACACTACTGACTGACACGTTAGGCAAGGACTAAACACAATGCGTTGGCGAAAATTTAGAGCTGCACAGGTTTCTGTAGTTTGATTTTCAGATAATGAATTGTCTCTATGTGAATCAAAGAGAATAGCGTGTGATTATTAGTGTCTCTTTTATTGGACCAAGGCGATGGACGTCTAAGGATGCTAAATCAGGTGGTGATGAAGAAGTGAAAACTTCTGTAAGTGATTGGCTACATCAGCGGCCGACTTATTTTTTACGAATCTGGGATACATGCCTTCATTCGTAGACGTGGTGACTATGTTGAGAAGTGGGGATTTGAACCTGTGATATATGGCTTATATCTTGATGCACGATATGTTTAATTGCGTTCCTTATTTCTTTTATAATAAAATAAATTGCATTACTTTTTGACTCACCCTCGGATATCAGTGGACCAGAAAGCGATTTCAGAAATGGAAAATTGTCTTTTCTTTTTAAACAACACATATGATTATTGTACACTAATGTACACGAACTGTTATCTTGGTCCTGATTGTTATAGTCACAACTATTCTGTCGTTGTAATCTTCGGCCTTCCCATGGTGCCTCGGCTCTAATCTTCTTTTGTAGATCAAGCACAGAATTTATCCCTATATAGGAGTATTTGATCTGTATAGAAGAATTTTATTTTTATTTATGTTCTCCAATACAAGGCTCAAGAGCCGCCCAAGGCAGAGGGTTACTGTGTGGATTTGTATTAGCGTAAGAAAGGGCAAGATAAGGAAAATATAGACAGCTAATTCTAGACTTGAATAGGTCCAGAATTAGCGAATACAATTTCAGAGTTCAAGCGGTCACGTTAGGAGTATATAGTTGAAGTAGACTTTAGAAGGAACCGGAAAGCCACCCCTAAACAGGAAACAAGGGAAGAAACTCTATTCCTGTTCAAAAGACCGTGTAGCGGGGTGGGGTGAACCGGACGATGAGCAAACATATCTACTACTATATAATTTTTAATTTTCTAGAATTCTACCCTTTGATAATAAACAGATATTGTATTTTGATCTTATTTTTATTACTGATTGAAATACATTAGTTCAGCACAAGGCCAGTAAAAAAGAAGGGGTTAGTCATGCAATGTCTAGTTGCCTGATGTGTGTGTTCAGTCTGTGGATCAACGAATAGAATTCATATGATCCGGCACAGGCAATTGAGGAGAAATAGCATCACAATCATGATTTACGAATAATTAATTAATACGAGTTATCTCCCCTAGCATAAACAGCAAAATGTTTAAATGTCAATTTATTCCTGAAAATTGAAAAAAAGGGGAAAAAAAGGAAACGAAATTTCTACAGTGTTATGAAAACCCTCACGGAGTTTCGCTGTTTTTTGTGTTTGTTGTTTTTTTTTTTTTTGTTTCTTTTTTTTTTTTAAATATATATATGAATAAATTAACCGTTAGACATTATGTTAAGGGAGATAACTCGTATTAGCCCAATTATTCCTAATTTATGAACGTCACTGAAAGATGGCTGCTAATTACAATGGCTGTAACGTCGTGACTATAACAACTAATAAGATGACGTCAGTTCGAATAAATGTATAGCAAAGATAATCCCGTATGTCAGCGTTTCACAAAGGAGGCGGATCATGCCAAGAAATGTTATATAAATAACAAACTAAGGTATATTTGTAACGTTCTCATATATGCAGACATTTTTCCAACCATTCTTCATCGTGTTTTTTCTTTCTTTTTTCTATAATCTTATTGTAACATCGCAGCAGCTATAAGCGTACATCCTCAGACCAGAGGATTGCTGAACTGCAAGCTCTTATCGCCCTTAGCAACACAATCGGTCATGGACAGGTCAACCCAGAAGAAATGTACGTATAGTTGCCGTTCAGTGTGCTGACCACAAGTTAGTCGTCTTCCTGTTGGTACTCCACGTCAAAATCTACTTTGTCCAAACAGTCATTTATATACCGACACTCTACCTGTACACCTTGTTATAATGTCAGTTCAAGCACCGCACGTCACGTCATATTACGTCAAACCTGCCGTCACCTTTAAACGTCAAGAATGTGGCCAATAAATCACCATATTTATCTGTACATGTATGCACAGATATTTGTGTGTGTGTGTGTGTGTGTGTGTGTGTGTGTGGCATCCGACGGTTTCAAAAGACTATGAATTTGCGCCCATAGATTTATTCGATATATATATACATATATATATATATATGGTGGCATTGCATCTCTTATGTCTGTACAGTTCCACACCGGACTGACAGTCTTGATTGCGACAAATGCATGTGAAGACGCTCTACTCCGATGTCGCCGGGTTGTTTTCTTTCCTTCGACCACGCTTCTATCTCCGGCGGCAAACCTCCGTTTCTTCTGTAAATCGCGTCTCCAGCTTTAGCGATCTTTGGCGACGTCTTCACACCTCCCAATGCTCATGTCCTTCACCCTCATGTTCCTTTTTCAAAAGTTCTTGAAGCGAAGAGGTCGCCCTCGTGCACTCTTGCCGGATACTAGTTCCCCGTACAGAAGGACCTCCGGAATACTCCCATCCGGCATACGGTGTCCCTATCCAAGTCAGCGGAGCCAGCGATATTGGAGAAGGGAGTTATAGGAATTATTGATCCGCTCGAACCAATCGATGCCCAGTATGCATCGTATACAGCGAATATGAAAGGCGCAGAGGCGTTGCTCCTGTCTTATATATATATATATATATATATATGTATGTATGTATGTGTGTGTGTGTGCGTGTGTGTAAAAGCGACTGTCTCAACATACATACATGCATATATACATATATATATATATACATACAGAGCCAAAACCCAAATTAGTGTAAAAAAATGCTCAATATGTTCAGATCCTACTGAGGAATAAAACATCCAGTCCAAACTTCTTCAACTGCTCAGAGTGAAGAAGTAACTGACAGTGCTTAATTATGTTACCCGTGCGTGTATAATTGCAAATTTAAAGTTGGCATGCGCCATATTCAGTTCGTGTGCGAAAACTGAGAAATACCCATATACTGGGCGCGTGGGAAAAATCAGTTTCAAGCCTCTGCAAATTTTTTGTGTGTTACATATGTAAAAAGTAATGCAAGAGCGAGACCAGTTTTCAAAACCATCGACGGGCTCCTGGTTGCTCAGTTCAACGTTGAAAACATGTCCTTCCTCTGTAAAGAAATGCCATATATATATATATATATATATATATATATATATATATATATATATATATATATATGTGTACACACACACATAGACGTATGTATGGATGTATATAATCACTGTATAACTTGTCTACGTCTCACACATTCACTGGCAGCGGAAATACGTACTTCGGTATCATTACGTCATCAAATATTTTATTATCAATATTAATGTCTCTCTCTTCATACGCATCTAACCGCATGAAATGTTTGTCACGTGATCAGGCAATCGACCAGCGTCCGTCCAGTGTCATTTCGTTCTTTCATCACCAGTAACGTCAAAATGTCTCATCGTTGGAGCGTCATTGCATCATAATGTCAATATGTCACAGTGTTACAACATCAAAGCGTCATTGCGTTTACAGCTCGAAGTGAGTCAACATGTCCATGTCATTATTTCATGTGGAAAAACTTGTTTAATTTTATTCATCTAATGTTTTACGTCATTGTGTTAGATCTGAAACAATATGGATTCCTTACTCACAAAATCTTCACCCTCAAAAATGGAGTCTATTCTTATATTTTTCGTCTTATTCATTTGTAAGAAAATGTCTTGCTCGTTTTGTGAATAATTTTAAAATGTTTAACATTTTCTCTATATCATTACGTTTAACTGTTTCTTGTCATATTCTTTTAAAATAAATGTACTGTCAACATTTACGTCGTCAACTGGTTCATAGCACTTGAAATCGGAAAAAATGCACGCATCACTTCCGGTAAGATTTATTTCTCTTCCTGTTCTTATAGTTAAATGGATTTTCATAAAATAATTTCAATTAGAATCTCCTTTGAAGTTTGTTCTTT